ACTAAGTCATTCAGTGTCACGGCTTGCGGTTGGGGAGCTGGTTGCAAAGACGGCAATGTGTTGCTAGGATCAGCTGCAAAAGGTTGCTGCTGATATATGTAAGTGTTTTCAGCCGATGCGTCGTGATTGGGAAACCCATAGTAAACGGTACCACCACTTGATACGTGGGGGAATTGTTGCTGAGATATTGGCGTTATGGATGAAAAAGCACCAACTGATGGGTTTGTGTTACCATCACTTGTTACCCCAGTGATACATTGGGTGACTGCGGGTGTCCACTGTGACATTAGTGGCAAATTGAGCTGACTAATAACGGCAGACTGTCCGCTAAACGGATTGTTCACTGACGCAGGTTTGCTATACACGTTATGTAATAGCAAGTTTTGATTTCTGCAGATTAAATTTGCAGGTGGTTGTGACACAATGGCATGGAGGGTGTATCCAGAGTATTGATTGGAAATGGCGGGCATGTTTCCAACAACTCGGGAATCGTTATTAAAGTTGTTGACGGGGATATGTTGAATGGAAGACGAAGGATGAGGTACAGAGAAGTAACGGCATACCGGAGTATTGGTAGCTGCTGTTCCAGCTGGATTAAAAAATGATGATGTATTGTTTTCGCAAAGTGTAGCGTTATTGGAAATAAGCAACGACTGCGTTTCGTGCTCAGGATTAGTGGATACAGCGTGCTTGATTCCATCGCCATCGCTGAAGGAGACGGTTGGTTGATAGGGATAACATTGTTGATCACAACCAAAAGTCTGATTCGGCAACGATCGCCGAGGTGAAGCTCCCGCTGTGGACACATTTCTGTTTTGATGCGAACCACTTACAGATATTGAAGCAGGTTTTTGTAAGGTCTTACAGGATACACGAGAGTGCGGCACATATACAGGTTTCAAACTTTGAAGAAGACGGAACTACCTCGGGCCCTTTTCGGTTTTCTAATGCATGATCAACCCAATCGTTTACCCTGTCAGAACGACGATCAACCGAAGACGCCAGCTCGAGATGCTGATCTATTTCAAACTCTTCGAGGTATTCAGTTTTAACCATTTTTGCTTCAGCTACTTTAATACGATTTTCTTCGCTCAATCGTTCCATTTCAAGCCGACGTTTTTCGATTCGTAAACGATTCTTGCTCTTTACGGTCAATTTCAAATTTAATTTCTTGTTGTTTTCGTTCCATCTCAATCAGATGCTGTTGCTCTTCGATGATGGCTTCCTGTTGTTTCAGTCTTAAGGTTGCTTCATGTTGTTTTTCCAACTCTCCTCGCTTCATCTTCGCTAGGAGCAGCTCTTTGCGGCGCTCAATGGGGTCAATGATTTCATTGAGTTTTGCTTGCTCGACCCGAATTTTGCCGATTTTGATGAAACTTTTGATCGACTAGTTTCACTGACGCGGACCTCTGAATCTTGTTTAGATTCCATATGAACGCGAGCCTTACCAGTTACTTCATCGTTAACTTTAACTATCCTATCCCACCATGCAGCCAACTCCGTTAATAATTTGCTAGGGTTATCGGTTTTATTAGCTAATATCACAAGTTCATCATTTTTAGCTAATGCTTTTTCGAGAATACTCTTGCAAGATTCAATTTAGGCGTTTGTTTTTGTTTTCCGAATTGGTCCCTCTAAACTCTCAGTTATGCGACTGTGAACTACGGAAAGCTCATTTTCTAGTGATGTTCGACCATTCATCAATCGTCGATATTTTAACTCAATTTGTTCTGTCATTTTGATTTTTTTGAACTTGTTCACTTCTACTCAACCGCTCAACTGCTCAGTTTGAGAGAAAAAAGGGAATAAATAATTTAAGACCTTAACTTTAGTATTGATAAATTATATTCTGACTCATTAAACAATATCACACACTAGAGAAGCACTTCATTTAATTCCTAGTTGCTGCTCAGCATTTCTTCTGTTTCGATTAGCTTGCCGCTTGCGTTTTCCTGGCTTAGGAGTATTCTTCTTTGAAATAATGTACTTCAAATTCTTGCTATAACGCCTAAGGATCGTAAACGTTTTCAGTTCTAGAGAATGATCCTGGTGTAGTTGTAAGTACTTTTGCCCTAACTCAGTGAGGTTCTGCTTCCTTCTAGATATCAGGTATGTTACTATATTAATAACTAATATACCTGACTCTTTCAACTTACTATATATATCTTCCGTGCCTACACGTTTACAGTAAACGATTGCATAAATTTTACGTTTATATTTTAAAAGAATCTTCTTAAGCTGGTTAGAAGTTAGTGCGTTAAAGTTATTACTACGGTGTCGACTAATAGAGTTATTAACGGCGTCGTGCCAAATAACAATGTCGTTTCGGTTTAAGAGATAGTGATCAAGTTGATTCTGACAAGTTTTACGGACGTTCACTGCGTTATGGTTGAAACTTAACCCGGGAATGGCTAAGCACGATTGAGATACACGCTTTTGCGAAGCGGGGGAAAGTATTTTCAAAGCGTGGTGCAGCGAGCTAGCAGCTAGTATGAACATTTAGTGAATTAAATCAACTTTAGAGGAAGGGAATCAAGCAAACCGCGACCTGACCTCCCGCAACACCCTGAGCTAACAAGGTTGTAGCATAAGGTAAGACGATTTGCTTGATAATACGCTACGGGTCTCGACTACGGCTACTTTTATGCAAATGAACTAGTTTAGTTAGCTGCACCACGTTTCAAGAATAAACACGGCGTTTTTCCAGAAATTTTTTTTTCGAAAATTTTGGTTTTATTTCCGAAAATTTTCCAAATTTTTTTTTTTTCGAATTTTTTTTCCGAAATTTTTTTTTCCACGTTTTCACCCAACGGTTCAAGTTCCAACAATAACCTGATGCGTTTGCGAAACTTTGAGTTTTTTTTTCTAAAAAGTCCGAAATTTTGGGCAAAAAACTCGACTCGGTCGTGTTAATTAAATTATTATGAAACCAGGCGCTTTGCTGAAAATTTGCAAAACTTTAAAATTTTTGGAAAAAAAAATCAAAAATTTTCAATTTTTTTTTCAAAATATTTGGCCTTTTTTTTCGATACGGTGTTGAGCTTACAAAAACGGTGTTAGGATAACGTAATTAAGGTTTTTGAGGCCGGTTTTTTCCTAAACCCACAGAAAATTTTCTGATCAGGTTTTGGTATCGAGAAGAATGGGGGGTTACGATTTTGCCATCAAAAAACCTCGTATCAGAATTTAAAGCATCAAATCAGCAAGTTAGCACAAATGGATAAAGTTTTGGTTTTTTAATCTCACAAGTTTTGTAGAGGCGTTCACCGGTAGATTCCAAAAATCCACAGAAAACTTCGGGTCTTGAGAAAAAATAGGTGTCCACAATCCACAATCAGGATACCTGAAAAGGCCTCCCCTTCTAACTGGGACGTTTCGGCTAACTGGGTCGATAAAGGCGCTCGGGCAAAGTTGCCTTCTGATCTGTAATCTGAGTTGCCTACTCTGAGTCCCTTCTAAGTGGGACGTTTCGGCTAAGTGGGTCGTTTCGGCCAATCGGGTCGTTTCGGCCAATCGGGTCGTTTCGGCCAATCGGGTCGTTTCGGCTAATCGGGTCGTTTCGGCCAATTGCGTCGTTTCGGCCAATTGGCCACCTTCTGACAAATTTTGGCTAATTGGACCCTTTCGTACAATGGGTTCGTTTTGGCAACTTTCAGCGTATTGCACACTTTCGGCCAATTGGGTCGTTTGGGCAACTTTCGGCTTATCGCACACTTTCGGCCAATTGGGTCGTTTGGGCAATTTTCGGCTTATTGCACACTTTCGGCTAATTGGGTCGTTTGGGCAACTTTCGGCTTCTCGCACACTTTCGGCCAATTGGGTCGTTTGGGCAACTTTCGGCTTATCGCACACTTTCGGCCAATTGGAGCGTTTGGGCAACTTTCGGCTTATCGCACACTTTCGGCCAATTGGGTCGTTTGGGCAATTTTCGGCATATTGCACACTTTCGGCCAATTGGGTCGTACTGTCCGGAATATCTAACGTCCAGAATACCGTCCGGGTCGGCGGACCAAAATGTGCCGCACTCTCGTGTATCCTGTAAGACCTTACAAAAACCTGCTTCAATATCTGTAAATTATCGGCAATTCAACAGATAATATATAGAATAAGTAATATCAGTTGAAATTTTTAGCCATACGAATTTCAACAATCTCAAAAATCTATAAACATTTTGATGGCAAACTGACCTTAATCGGACAAACCAGTAGTTTTCAAGGCCTTTTGTCTAAGCAAATCTAATTTTAGCTTTTTCACTTTCCCGCTATAATGACGTCATTAATTTAAGATTAATTTAAGCGCGAACACGGGTTTGCAACGAAAAACTGTTTTTGGCTGTTTTTTGAAGTTAAATTTTAAAGCATCCCCCTCCTGGCAAAAAAAAATGATTATACAAATGTTTGTTAAGAAACGAGGTTTTCTAAATGTTTATTCTTCGAAAAAATTTTATGGACACTTGTGCTCTAATGACACAGTAATCGCTTCACATGGTAGATAGTTAGTTTTACTGAATCAGGGCCAAAATTCTCCAAATGTTTAGAAATCAATTAATTTTAAGAATAAAGTTCTTTTCAAAGTTTCCACATAATGAAATTGTTTTAGCATAATCTACTCATGGACTCTTTTTTCTGTATTTTGTGGAAAAATACAGTAATAGCACGAAACAAAAACAATGACGTAATTCTTCAACAACTTCAGTGGTCAGAACAATAAATCGGTTCATCAAAAGACCTATAGTGGCAAAGATTATGGAAAGAATGGGCAAAAGCTGTATGGATCGATTGACCGCACAGAAATTTAGTTATCTTTGATAAGGATAAATTCAAAGGCACCATGCCTGTTTGAATTTATTGATCATCATTTGAAGATGAAATTTCAGTGCGGGCATGCAAGCTATCCGTCTTTTATCAATTACTTCCATAATCATGGCCGTTAGGCGTTTTTTATTTGTTCATTTTTTAATCCGATCCCTGCTGTGAGCCAAAATGTGCAAATCAGCCTACCTTAGTTTGAAGCCACTTATCATCAAGTTATAGAAGAGGTAGACACCGAGCACAATCACACACGCTATGCTCACTGCCATTCCACACACAGCGAAGGCCGCCTCTGAAAAATAAAACTCACTTCAGAAAAAAACAAGTTGAAATCTTTTTCCTAAAGCATTCTAGGGGAGAGGAAGTTTATTTAACTTCCAACTCATTTTTAACCAATCAGAATAGAATAGCGCTCAAAATAGAAGTTGAGAGTTGTTGTGGAAGACAGCAAATACTTATAAGTTGCACAAATTGTCGAGGCATACCAATTTAGTTTACGTAGCCTAATTGATTAGACATAATTTGCTTGATTATATTACGCTTTCCTGTAAAAAATTATTTTATGTTTCATCCGAAAAAAAAAAGGAAAAATGAGAGCATCACTATTCAGCAACAAGCACAAGTTGTAGCATGTTCCCAAACCCACCCCCTTGACCGACCAGTATATTTCCGTTCAGGCTCAGAAATATTCCAATGTTATTGAAAAATGTTTCAGATAAACTCAAAAATGTTCTGTATGCTTATTTTAAGGTAGTCTGACCCTGCAGATGTCCTACAAGCTCGGGTCAAAGTGCTCGATTCATGTTTTGACTACATCGACCACATTTCAGTATTTTGCGACTAAAATTCGGTATGTTTTGACATTCTCGAACAAATTTTGGTAGATTTTGACTTTCTCGACCCAACAAAAATATGTTCGGTTTTGCTCGACGCAGTTCAGATATGTTTCAAATTTCTTGACCGAAACTCGATATGTTTCGGTTTTCTCAACCGACAATTAAATTAAAATAATTATTCGATCCTGAAAAAAAAAACGTTCCTAGTTTTCTACCAAAAATGGGTATGGTTCGACTGTCTCGATTTTCTCCACAAAAAATCCAAAATTTATTTGAACCATCTCAATTTTGTTTCAGGCGCCGTCACTACGGGTCAAGACTTGCAATTTATGTTTCGACCGAATCGACCAAAAACTCGTACGTTTCAACCGTTTTGACCACAAAATCGGGTATGCTTCGACTGTTTCCGACCTGTGTTTTGACTTTCTTGACCGAAGTCGGTCATGTTTCGACTGCGCTCGTCCTATGTTTCGACTTTGTCGACCATCAAATATCATGGGTAAATTGACAACAAATTATAGTGTATGCTCTTTACTTGAATTCTTGTGATGATGCTTGAGCTGAAGATAACTTATTTAAATTTTTTTAATTTCTATTCATTTTGTTTTTCTTTTCTTAACAAATCTGGACTGAAACTGTTGATCTGAAAATTGATAATTGAAGGAAGTTTAGTAGAATTTACTTTTTGTTGCCGCAGGAACCCTGAGATCTGGAATAATTAAAGGATTCCCTCTGAAACTTTTAGTTTTGCGGCAAGCAAATATCCTCAACTGATTGTTGCTGATTGCAACTTTCTGACGGAGGCCTTTTCCGAGCATATATAAGCTCTGTTTCAAAGTTAAGAATTCATAAACATTTTCAAAAAAAAATTGAAAAAAAAAATCAGGTTGTGCTCGACCTAAGTTTTGACTTTGCTCGACCTATGTCTCGTCTCCCTCCACCACAACTGAGTATCATTCGAATTTGAACTCGACTTTGCTTCTTGACTGTTGAATTCCATTAAAAAACTGCGCCTGCTCGACTTTCAAAATCGAAACATTCGTCGAGCACCTCGACCCGGGTGTCGTAAAAAAAAAATTTTTTTTCTTCTTTCGTACGAGCCTCTTTTTTGATCTTACCCTTAATGGTAAATTGCAGTCCAAATGATGTATGGTAGAGGTGACCGCCTGGATTTATTAAACCGGCATCAAAATCAAACTTGAAAACTTGGTGACCAGTTTGAAGGCTAAGTTTACTGTCACGAATCGAGTAGGAGTAGCACTCTGAAAGGGTCTCTAAGTTGTCTTCACTGGAACCCAGAAGATCAAAGGAAGCTATTGCAGTCTGTGCCGAACATCGTAAGCTGAAGTCTAAACAAGGTTAACCGGTTACTGAGCTAAAGCATATGATGTTCCAAACAAACTGATTTATTAAGAGAAAAGCAGAAAAAAGAAACGTTTCTAGACAGGGCAAACGATTTAGGTGAAAATTGCAAAAAATAATTTTCACATAGCCAATTGTTAGTTGGAAAAAAGTTAATGAACGCAAGGAAAAAAAAGCTGAAGTGGTTTTTGAAGAAACTTCACTTTTCCAAGTTTAAAAAGACATGTATATACCCTTAAAAGTGCATCATTTTTAAATGCCATTAATGAACAATATATTTTTGGTACTTTTTTGATATGCAGATTTTTGGTAGATTTTTACTGGACACCCTTCCAGTTTTTACTGATGTACCAAAAAAAGGGCAAAAAAAGCAAAAAAGCTAACCCTAGAATTTAACTTTTTCCATATTACTTTGCGGGGGGTGCGATGATTGCAAAAAATAAATGACCATAACAAAGAGGAACTGGAAAATTTTTTTTTGACAAAGAGTAACTCTTAAAATAACGATTATATTGTTTGCAATGTTTTTCTCCCAACTTCCAAACATCACTTCAAAGCTCTATAATTTTACCAAACATTTTTGATATCAAACGTCACAATATAACTAGGAGATTCAGTTCTGATCACTTATAGAAAAAAATCTAACATCGAGCAAAAATCTTAAAGTCGATGAAACAAAAAATCGATTTTATTCCCATTTTCAACCGAATTTCTTATTTTTTAATGGGTGGTTTTATAATGGGTGCTTTTATAAAGCGGAAAAGAAATTAGAGTTGTTGACATAATAACTTACAAAACGTTATAAGTGTAAATAGAACATATTTTTGTGAATTTCAGCCACTATTCAACTTGTCCTTTTTAGTCTAAAAATTGAAAAATTCAGACTTTTTTCTCAACACTGACAAAAATGTTTGAATTTAATTTGCAATCCAAATAACGAACAAAAGGGCTTCAAAACAACACTAATAACAGAATATAAAACTTTCTTTGAGTTAGTCAAAAACCCAGAGTTCCTCCCATCCATTTGATGGGTAAGTGGCTTCTGGTTAGAAGACTTAAGAATAAAAACAATTTTACACTTTTTCTCCGTAAAAGTTAAAAAGAAAAACGCATCATCTAAAAAAGCAAATATTCATTTCGTGCAAAAGTAATTAAATTTTTGAGAAGACGTTGTTAACTATAAACCTCAGCTCAGTAAAAAGACTCAAAAAGAAAACAAATAAATTTCACCGTAGAACTCATGCGTGTACTAACAAAAAATGGATACCCATCGATTCTATACAGATAATGTAGCAGGAAAAGTTTAAAAATGATTTGAGTTGATTCAAAATCGATTTAGCTAAATACAAAAATGTAGCTTAAAAATAAGCTAAAATCTTTTTTGTAAATGTTTTTTGTTTCAATTTCTTATGAATTTGATTCGATTTAAATAAACTTGAATAATTCTTAACGAACTTTTCTTAAACTCTTCTTATACAAATTCTATACCGAATTTATTCAAATTGATCAAACAATTAAGAAATAGTGGAAATAAAACTTTTACAAATGCTTTTTAATCAACTTTTCGTTTTGATGTTTGATTGGAAAATACGCTATTAGGGTAACTAATATCTAATATTTCTGCACCAAAAACATTTTTTTTGATAATTTTCATTTTATGATATTAGTCTTAAAAAATTGAGCCTAAAACTTTGATAGTATAAAAACATTTTGCATAGTTCTACTTCACTTTACCATAGGAGCCCTTATTTTTGCTTTAATTTGAAATGGAACCCCTTAAACGCTTAAACTAAAAGTTTGCTATACAAAACTTTTTTTAAGTGACTCTTGCTCTCTATAGCTCTCTTGAGGTTTGATTTAGTAGAAAAATATGGTCAAGCTTCGAAGCAAAAAAAATAGTTATTTTAAATCAGTTTTGTTGAGATTTTGATGATTTTCACTATCTTGCAAAAATTCATTTAAATCGATTCATTTCCACTTTTTATGCAATTAAATTGATTTTTTATTCTGCTACTTAAATCCATTTAATCCATTCTACATCGATTTACGTATTCAAATGGGCTATCGCAAATCGATTTCTATACAGTATATTATCTGTATAAAAATCTATTTAAATCGATTTCAATCTCAAGTTTGTCACTGCGCGTATGGCTTTGTCATTGTTCTGACCACACCAGAGCTCAAAAAAACTATGGCATGTGGTTCTTTTTCTAATCTATTTTGACTACTTTAAAGAAAACTCATAAGAATGTCAAATATGTTTTAAGGCCATTGGAGCCTTAGTTTGGGTTCTAAAACAATTTTCAAAAAATTTATTTCTGGATCAAGAAAAACTGGTCTGAACGAACTCGTTTTTCAGAATAAATCAGATAAAGGGTGACAGGAATTTACTTAAAGGCTGACACCAAAATTACATTCTTCTACAGTTACAGTTTTGACATCATATTAGCCATAATTATTAATCATTAGTGACTTTTTTCCTCTGGTTTACTCGACTTCTCCGGTAAAAAGTATAATAAGAAGTATTATTGCACATGAAAAAAGTTGAAATTAAAAAAATAAGTTTTCTCTTTTTCTGATAAATGTTTCTTCTATGATTCTGAGCAAGTTGTGCTTCTAGCTTAGCGACCAACTGTTCTTGTTGTCATTAAAAGTAGATAAGTAAACATATTTCATAAGAAATGTTTTGAATGTTATTACAGTAAATACCTTGAATATTGTGTCGAGTTACCAGGGTTCCGTTTAGGGCGCACTGTTTTGATATGATCTGGGCCATTTGACTAACTATGCTTTCTTCTTCTGTTTTGGACCAATCAGCGCACAGAATTTCTCGATTCCGCGGTTGTTTAATCTTTTTTGTTTCCAAAGTGAGGGGGGTCAAAATAGGTTTTGAGTACTTGTAGGATGGACAAGGGTTAGAGTGTTTGGGCGAAGAAGTGGTAAAAGAGAAAGCGGCGTTGTTTCTAGCAGGGTGGAAAAGGGAACACCTGCTCAGTGAAATCGAGATTCCCTCTGATGTTTGCGCCCAGTTATTTTCCTTCTTAATAACAGATCTAAATCAAAAATGAGTATGTTCTAGAATAAAAGAAAAAAAGAAATATGACCTAAAAACTGTAGGTGAACACTTCTTTTCCGTCCGTTTATGAAATAAAAGTATCTGAGCAGCCTAATTTTGAAATCAAATATCAAAATCTAACAATTTTAAACATTCTTTTATGCAGAGTTTTTGTTCGTACTTTATCGGAAATCAACGATCCGTATTTTAAAAAATGAATGCAATAGATTTTGGTCAACACGGTTGGTGATATGTCAAGCTATTTCAATAACTTTGATAATCGAATGAAAAATGTATAATATAAACCTGAATTGAGGAGGAGCAAAAACTGCGTGGGATTTAGGCGTGACAATTCTAGATATGTGACTGCAGTAATCATAGTCTGCTTTCTGTGACCTTTTCTCTTCTTCGGTCGATACTAGATGACCTGAATTGACCTCTGACCTCGAGGCACTGTTGAACACTACAGCGTCTATGATTTCACTGTGGATGAGGTCTTCTATTTCGAAGTATCTGATCTGCATTGGGTTGTAAGCGAGGACAGTCGAAACACAGTCGCACCTAGGGTTAAGTTAATACCATAAATTCAACTTAAGCATCAAAATCAAGTTAAAATTTTACTGACTTTTACTTTGTTTTCATGCAGAATAGCTAACTTATAATCCATTATAATTGATTTTTTTTTTGTGAAAAAATTTTTTGATAGAAAAAGGGATTATAACCTATTATAATAAATTATAGAAGATTATAAGAGATTTTCGGAAAAATTATAATCAATTATAAGGTGGCAGGACAATCTGCCCTCTTCCAAACTACCCTACACCTTTCTTCCTCATGCCCTTATATCCTACATACCAATCTACCCTATACCAATCTACCCTATACTAATCTATCTTATACTAATCTACCTTATACTAATCTGCCTTATATACCAATCTAACCTGTGTCAATTTGCCACATAAATAATGTAACCTTTCAAAGTGCTAGTTAGAATCGGAAAGATAACAGCACGTTATAATTCATTTGAGTCCAATTTTTTGGAATCAATTTGAGTTTTTCACTTAAGGAAATTGTCTAAAAACTATATCGCAATTTAAGCCTCAAAGTCTGAAATTTGTCTCAATTAACAGGTCTGAACCCCTAAATTTTAATATCAAGTACCAAAATGAACAAAAACTACGTCATTACATCAATTTTTGTTGGAATAGGATTTACAAAAATGAGTCAAATTTCTTGGGATCTATCCCAACAGAATCGGAGAACGCTTGGAATCGATGGCTACGCGCTAAAAACAGGAAACAAAAAAAGGAAGCATTCACTGGAAGTGTTCAAGGTGGGGGTCCTATAAATTCAAAACGACAGCAATAACCCGAGATAACGACCTTATTTTCTGTAGAAACGAACACACTCACGAAGTTTTTCCTGGTCGTTCAGATGCAAGGCTTCTCGTGCAGAAAATGAAACAGGACACAAAATTCAGCAAGTTCCAGTCAATAGCATCATTATAATTATAATTGATTTTAATTTTTTCACATTTCACCAAAAATGTTATCATTATAATGGATTATAAATCGTATAAACTTGGCGCTTATACTTAATTATAATTAAGCTGAAAGTACAATAATAATAATAATACAATCGATTATTTTCTGTTTTTACTGAGTGCGGATACCTTCGCCAATTCTGTAATTTTTTCCCGACTGATACATGCGAGTTTTTTTGACAACCCTCATAAAAATGACGGAATAATTTAATGTAATAATTAAAAATTGACAAATTAGGGTAGGAGGACTCATTGGACAAAAAATTGGCAACCAGACCCGGCATGCTATCAAATATTTTAACTCATAGAAGATTTTCAGTCATCGTACCTGTAAGAAGAATGTTTCCAGGAATCCAATGTCAAAATCAGGTATCCGTTGGTATCCAGGGAAGAACCAGACAAGGAATTCCAATCTATAATATCTCGGTGGCTATTTGCAGCAGCCATGCATACAGTGAGTAATGTGATGTGGTCTAGGGCTAAGAGTGGGTACCCTGAGAGTTCGACAAAGTCAGGGTAGCTGCCGAAGTCAAGGACCCCTCCAACTTCGCTAATCAACAGGTGGTGCAAGATACTGTCAACGGATATCGAGGAGCTACTATGGGAACCTTGAGTGTCCTTTGCACTTCGACACGAAATATTTAAATCTTGAAGGTCATTCGGACAAGGATTACGATATCCAATTGACATGGGCATTATCTCGGCAACCATTTGTGGTCTGCAGTTCGAATCTTGCACACACCTCGAAATTGTTTCATTTCTATTTTGCATGCTAATTGAACTAGTATGTAAAATTTGGCCATTACGCGTTGACATATGACCTCGACAATGGTCTCCAAAAGTAAACGCGTCGATAAAGTAGTCCCACACATTTCGACATTTGTTTCGATAGCTGGACTGAAAAGGAAGCAGCAATATCGTTTGACAAGAAGACCGAAATAGCGACTGACTTGACGCATGGAAACTTCCATGCTCAACATTTTCTGCTAAGTTGGGAAGCTTTGTAAGGTTAAATACGTGTAATGAAGTTGTTGAGTTTATATTCAAGGAAGATGAATTAGGGTCAAGCTTGTTTGAGGTCACGAGGTCAAACCACGAAGTCACGTGATTCGTGGAGTCCAGAACAGCAAATGATATCATTATCATCAAACTTGGCTTTGAATAATTGTCACTGCCGTTTCGATCAGTGATTGGAGAGTTGAGGCCAATTTCAATAATTTGATTGAAAATATCAATTTCACTGATAAAAAGATGATTTCTATTGAAATTATTGTATAATTTACTGAGGTGATCGGTAGTAGAAACAGTACCTCCGACGACCTTCCAAGGTTGACAATCTTCAATTTCGTTTACATCTACATTTTGTCGGAAAAATGTGACCTTTCCTTCGTGTAGCTTAGTTAGACTTGGTGTGTAGATGGTTGGAAAAGAGGGCGGGAATTGTTGGATTTTGGGGTCAACAGTCCAACTCCAGACGTCTGGGATGCCTTTGGCGATTGAGTTCCAGGTGTAGTTGAGGTAGATGAAGTCATCATAGGATCCAGCAAAGAGCAGCAGATAGACTTTTTGGCTCCTGAAAGTTGCTTTCAGATTTCTCATTTTAGAATAATTTTAATCATGGATTTTGTTTTTATATCAGAAATTATTCAAGACACAACAGTCATTTCACATGCTTGCGACATGCAAGATCATCAAAAGGTAAGTTGGGCCTGGGCAATTGATGTCTTTAGCAATTTAGGGGAGGACGGGGAGGACGGACGCCCTTCCCCCTCAGGGAATGACCCCCTGCCGGCCCAAAGGGTCCCGCCTTCGATACTTTTTAAGAAATCTATTTTTGGCCGACCGACCCTAACATTTTTCTAAAGGCGCCTTAGGCGCCAAGAAATACTATTTTTGAGGGAGAGCGCGCGCCAAAAAAAATGCAATTTTTTTGTCAAAATTTTCCAAAAAGTACCCAAAAACGGCTTTTTTGACCTGTTTTTTCAAAAATTTTGTACTTATTAGAGATATCCATTTTTGGCTGACTGACTCCAAAAAATTTTCTAAAGGCGCCATTCGCGCCACTATATGCTAATTTTGAGGGGGGGGAGCGCAAGGTTTTTTTAGGGCTTTGGGAGAGCTCGGCAAACCAATTTGCTCGACCTAAAAAAGGTCGACACAATTTTCGAATTTTTTTTAAAAATCCCCCCCCCCTTCGACAAAATCCTAGATCCGCCCCTGATCTTGAGTCATGCCTTTAATAAAAATTTTGACAATATTCTTGTATTAAGTTAAGATGAACTTCAGGGGCTTAGATCGAAAAAATTTTACCAAAAATTCAAAATTTTGTTGATCTTTTAAAGCTGCCACTAATCATTTAAAATAAATGTGATAACACTAAAACAGATTAAAACAGATCTGATACATGGTTCCAAAGAGGGGAAAAGATTTTTGAAAAACCACTTTTCATTTTGAAAAGATTGTTGCAAACTTTGCCCTGAATAATGTAATGTTTATGGGGCACACTGATGGGACGGTTCTTTAATTTGGGCGGTAATTGCTTTAATTGGGGCTAGAATTTTTTTGTAAATTTTCATGACTTGCCTTCTGAGAATAGCAGGTGCAAGATTAAAAGTGAAGATTCTAGAATTAGTCGGGTAGTTCCAGTCGTAATCTGAGAGTGTTTGAATTAGACTCGACTGGCCCGAGTCGCTTGTTCCTGCAATAAGACAGCCTTTGACCACCTGAAACAGATAATTACTGAAAAGCTTGTAAAAAGCGTGTGCATAACTTGTAAAAGCTTGTATAAACATATGTATAAATCAAGAAATGGAAAGCACGCTTGCGGCTCTTTAAACAGTCTGGATAGCCATCAGTGTTCGCTCAAGCTGGCACTCTTCGAATGTTAAACTACAAAGTTTTATACTTTTTTGTGGCGCGCATAGCTTGAAAATAAATTTAATATGATTTTCAAAAGCAAACCATGTAAAAATAATTGTATTAAGTTTTGTCCGAATTGAACCAAGCTGGTTATGTTTCGACCGAGTCGATTAAAGTAAAAACTACGTTCATTTTTTTATTCAAGCGTCCTACATTTTTTGTTCGACCGACTTGATTCAAACTAGCTTAACTTCGGCCGACTTTTCCGAAGGAAAATTGAGTTCGACTGTTTTCAGCACAAGCGTTCTATGTTGTATGTTTGAACCAAATGGACTATGTTTCGACCAAATCCATAAAGAACAAGGATAGCCGGTTACTACGCAAGTAGGGCAGAATGTTACGACCATTGTCTTCAGAAAACTACGGTTTAGAAATCTTTTTTCCAAACTAGTGTAGTTTTTTCTGCTTCTTTTGATAAAAAAAAATTTGAATAAAAAAAAATATTGGCACATTAGTCAACCATAGTAATATAGCAAAATTGGAAAAAAATGTTTGTAGAAAAATGATTAGAAAAATAAAAAAAATGAAGCTAAAAAATTTCCACAAAACTAGTTTTACTTGCTTAAAATTAAGTTTAAAGGTCCTAAATTAGGTAATATTCAGCTGTTGTAAGCCTGCTGGCTTGCTTTATTTGCTCGAAATAAGATGAAAAAATCCGAAAATTCAAAACGATTTTTCTCGACACTACAAAACAATTTTGGGAACTTTTTGAATTGGTTCAAATCACGACTGAAAGGGCTTTAATATGATATATCACTCATTATTTGTGGTACCTGATTTTGCGTGGAAAACAAAAAAGGAAAAAACTAATACACACTCGAATACAAAGCTCCTCGGAACAAAAATAATTGTTGGATTTTATTAAATTCGATCGTGCTGCGTTTCGACCGAAACGACTCCAAGGGCTGTTTTTTTGAGCGACTCGACCAGAGTAAAAATGTTTTCAATTACAATCGAGTAAATGTGCTATATTTTTACCGACTCGTCTAGATGAAAAAAACGTCGCACTGTGTTGAATTCAATCATGCTATGTTTCGATCGTCTCGACTCAAACTAGCTAGTTTTGAACCAACTAGGCTGAAGAAAAATCTTTTCGACTTTGTACGATTCGAGCGGGATATGCCTTGACTGACTCCAGCGAACAAAGAATGTGCTCAATTGATTTAGACTCAAATGTGCTGTCTTGTCCGAATCCATCCAAACGTTATAAATTTCGATCGACTAAACTGATCAAATTGGTTTTCGAACTGCGTTCGACTCAGCAATTACGTTTTTACTGACCCACCGAAGGAAAAGTTTGATCGACTGCGATCGATTCAAGCGTGCTATAATTCAGTCATCTCAATCCAAACG